AGTAGTAGTAGTAGAGTAGAGTAGTAGAGTAGTAGTAGAGAGAGAGAGAGAGAGAAGAGAGAGAGAGAGAGAGAGAGAGAGAGAGAGAGAGAAGAGAGAGAGAGAGAGAGAGAGAGTTACGAAAATAAGCAAAAAAAAAAATTTAAAAAAAAAAAATTAAGATAGGGGTTTATACGCTGGTGATATAGGGTAGACCTACTAAACCATTAAATAATCTTTAAAAAAAAAGATTTTTTGGTGGCTTTTTTTTTGTTTGAGGAGCGGTGGTCTAGGGGGAAACCGGGCCAAGAACCATACCATCCCGGAACCGATTTGGTTCTGATCGATTCCCATTTGGATTGGCAATCCTAGACAAAAATCGCCAGGTTTTTAAACACTGAAGAATCCTATAAAATATATGTATATAAGGCTCAGTTGAAGGCAACCATACTTGTATAGCGACACGTGCAGAGAATTTAACAAGCCCTTCTTCAGTAAGCTTCTCGGAGGCACTCTTTCCACGAACACCCTTGGAAATGAGCTTTGTGGACTCTCCTGCTTTGTGTCGTGCAGATAGACCTTCTACAAAGTGCATCTGTAACAAGCTCAAAAATACAATAAGGGAGGCTCCCAATGGCAATGTTAGGGTGAGCAACGAGTTTATAAGCATGATGAAGTTAGAAAAAATATGCTAAAACTTAACAATTTCATACAAATTTATGTCAATAAAAGAAAAAGAAAGTAGATTTTGTCTTTCACTATGTATGATCATTGAACAAAACGAAGACCTCCAACTCACCTTCGCATGCTCTAGATGTCTTAGAGCTTCCTCCTGAGAAGCAGAGTTCATAAACAACTGAACACAACAAAGTCCAGCAGCTACATGATCCTTCTTGAGAACCTAATCCATCACGACAATTTATGAAACATTATACATCATAAATAATGCATAAGCTCAACATCTTGGAAAAGAAAAATAATTTTAAACAGTTACGATAATGATATGCACAATAACAAAAAGCAAACCATTAAAGAGAAAATTATCTGAAGTACTAAAAATACTATTGGACTTTTTCTTTTTTTTTTTTTGGAGTTCTTTTGCTTTTTTTTTTAGTTCTAAAGGCTCTTTAAAATTAGCCGGACAAAGATAGAGTATCTGGAATGCGAGCTTAATAATAATAGGAGCAAAGACAAGTAATTAAGATTGACAGCTAAGAAACACAAAATAGAGCGCATTTTCGATACCTTGGGTCGATAATCCAGGAAAATCAGAAATTGAGGAAGATGTCACAGATAGAATTAAAGCTGGGAGGGCGAAGTGGAGATGTGCAACCAGAGTTTTATGTGATCGCCACACCAATGAAGCGAAAGAGCAAGTTCTATACGACAACTGTGAGACCAGCTTTATTTTATGGGACGGAATGTTGGGCGGTCAAAAAAACAACATACCCATGGAATGAGTATAGTTGAGATGAAGATGTTGAGATGAATGAGTGGCAAGACAAGAAAGAATAGAATCCGAGATAAATACATTTGGGAGAATTTAGGTTTGGCACAATACACAATAAGATGAGAGAAAGTAGAATTAAGTGGATTGGCCATGTGTGGTACAGGCCCAGTACAACACCTGTTACGAGGTGCGAGTTAGTTCAAGTGGAAGGCTAAAAATGGGCAAAACGAAGGCCTAAAAGGATATAGTTGAAAGTAGTGAGAAAACATATGAGGACTTGTAGCCTCACTGAGGGTATGGCCCTTAATAGAGCAGAATGGCAGACCAGGATTTGTGTAGCCAACCCCAATTAATTGGGAAAAGGCTATGATGATGATAATGTTGATGAGATGATAATCTGCATTTCAGAATTATTTCATAAGCTTGTAATTGCCAATGCTAGACAAAATTGTGCAGAGTACAGATGGTTAGCACCTTGTTACTCACTTCAAGATGTGATAATTTTATTGAACAAACAAAAACAATTGAAAAATCATATGCATGTTGAAGCATGGGGCATTAAAAAATGGAATTTACCTAAGAAGATAGCGTATCTACACAACATAGGGCTACCATTCAAAATGGGTAAAAAAAAAAAAGAGGCAAATTAAACATAAATGTTTTAGACCTCATTTTCATAAATAACTACCACAACCCAAAATTACAAAGGAACTTTATACATGGAACAATACAGCATCATATGTCCATGCAAACAGTAACAGAAAATCAAACTTGAAATGAGATTCCAAATTCAAACCATGCACTTATGGACTTGCAGTGGTCATGCCAGCATGTTAGACTTACAAAACCTCACTCATTTATCATGAAAAAATAACGCAGATAAGGTTCCACTGATTATTGTCAGGTTCTTCATCAGATACTCTTTTTTTACTGAAAGTTCTCCATTAAACCACATGGAACCCAGAGGATAGAGAATATGATTACAATAGTCCCTAGGGCATGATTTGATGACAGTTTTGGGTTGATCAGTTTAGATTTTAGAAACTATATCATTCTGCTCATACATCTAAAAATTGCATGAAAATACATGAAAACTATGGCATAATGAACTCGGTATTTCAAGCTCAGCCAATACTCATATTCCTTCCAAATCTAGCATTCTCAAGTAATAAGCTGTTTGCCATGTTATTTTCACGTCTGCTACCCCAACCAACTGTCCATTTCAGAAAAATAAACAGTTGGAACAATACATCTTCCTAATAATAAGAATCAGTGTAAGCAAAAGTGGCCCAGGTGCGGAACTCGCCCCCTGGATGAACCAAGTAACACATGAGAGTTTGAGTCAACTCTCCCGACACCGTGCCGAGCAGCCCAATGAGCCAAAAAAAAAGAGAGAATTGTGAAAAAACAGAAAATCCAAAAAAATGTAAAAACAAAACCAAAAAAGGAAAAATAACATGGAATATGAACAAAAAAATTGATGATATTGCCATAACAATTTTAAAAAAATCTGAAAAAAGAGGGAAACAAGAAAAATAACAAATACAAAAGAATAAAAAGTATGTACAATATTAATCATAAATACAATTTACTTAGTTAGAAATAAACCATTTTATGAATTCAAAATTGAATAAAATGAAACTCACCCAAAATTTTGAAGCCAATTTCCCAATCTTCGAGCTTAGGGCATATTGATTCCTCCATCCACATAAATGTTGGGGTTTGTGGCCTTTAAAGGCCGTGAGAGCATGTAAGACATTTATAGTGGATTCTTCACTTCAATAAGAGTGTGCACTGTTTGATTGACCAAGGGTTAGGCAGTATAAGACCCTGGTCATGTCCAAAACCATGGCATGGGACATGTCCAAAACCATGGCATGGGACACTAGTGAAAAGAGTTTACAAAAGGTCATCTGTTGTTGAGGTTGGAGAGATGCCCATGGATAGTTTTTAGGCCCGGAGAGCTATGTGGTCTCCTGTATACAAATGTAGGCCAGTGAAAGCAAGCACTAAATTCTCAACAAATTTCTGAACGACATGTACATATGATAGCCACATTACCAAGAAGCAACCCTGAAAAGAGATATGTGTACATGTGCATGAAGAGAGGCCCCCTCACACTATAATGATATGTGCTTAACTTGCTCTAAGGGGTGGAGCTGTAATTCACATTTCGGGATCGTGGTTCCATTGTTTATTGGCCAGCTTTGACAAGCCAATCATAAGCTCCTGACAAGTTTGTCGGTCATGGGTTTTGTTGAGTCAGTCTGAGAAGACAATTGTGAATCACAGTCACTGGGTCGGGTCGAGTTGCCTTATAGTCACTTGGTTTTGTCCCATTGTTACCATTCTACTTCTAGATATTTTATTTTCAATATTAGAAATATTTCTATAAATTTTAGAAATTTTTCAGAATTTGAAAACTATTTCTGTTGTAATTTCCTTGAAAAAGGGCACTTTCAAAATTATATGACTAAGGATGGGCACATGTGGGACCCTTGGATCCTGCCCCGCATGTGTACCACACCCCCTGGGTGGGGCGTGGGGCCCATAGGGGCCACATGTCACCCACAGGGGAGGCACCCCCCCAAGGGGGCTCCTCTCTTCTCTCTTATTTATTCATTTAGCTCTTGTTAATTAAAAATGTTTTAAGTTTGCTTAGTTAGATAATCTTTTAAAAGAAAAGAAAAGATCATGCATGCCTATTTTTGTGGGAGTTGGTTTTAACCAAGAAATATTAGTTCGACTTCCTACAATTAAAAATAAATTTAGAAGTTCTAAAAATTTTCGTAAATTGGTCTAATGCTAATTAAACTAGAAGTAGATATGGGTCAAATATTAACGGGATAAAGTTCCTCATATGCCTCCCAAAATCATGATGGCTGACTTATGGGAGAGATGACTCCAATTTATTCTCTCTCACCTCACATATTTCCTAACTTCCTGTTGGTCAAGGTGAGTTATTGGATAGGCATACCTCGGATGGTCTTGAGGTCTAAATTAGGAGGTGTACCCCCTCTCATTACCCATAATTAGGAGCCTCTTACTCACCTAATTCTCTCTCTCCTTCACAACCTAATTCTCTTCCTCTCTCTCTCTCTCATCTCGATAGTGCCCGTCTCCCCTCTGTCTCACCATTAGTGGCACGCCATCCTTAGACAAATTAAACGCCATCCTTAGACAAATTAAAGAGGGTGGCACGCTTAACCCTAATTAGGGTTTTGTAGAGAGAGGACTAGTCTAACCCTAGAAAAATGGAGATGTTTTTTTGAGGCATGCCCTAATATACTCTTTAGAAGCCTAGATTAAGAGGTAGTGCCTAAGGAAGCTAACTAGCTATAAAACTTCATAGAGACCAATAAGATTAAAGTACATCATTGTTCAAGAAATCGAGTGTGAGGGGTACCAAGACCTATGAGGATGACCCTAAGCATAATCGAGTGAATCTTCCCTGCTATTTATTTTTGTCCGTCATATTTCCATATTTACTGTGACTTTTCAAGAATATTAGTTGTACTCAATGTGTTAGAGGAAGATTGTTTTTTATTCCTGGATTGTGTTTATTTATTGTGGCAATAAAAGAAAAGGTCCTAAGTTGTTTTTAGGGTTTTGATTTTCTTTTACAATAGTGCATTGTAGCACTTGCAACTGGAATTCATATTCAATAATAAAGAAAAAAAATTATTTTAAAGCCTTGAATTCCACATAGCCACTTCTTTTAGTAAAGACTTCCTCAGATCACCCCATATCAAACCCAAATTTGAGTTCGGATCTAGGTGATCCGAGCTCTTGAAAAATTCAAAAGAATACTAAATCCAAACTTGAAATCTCACAAATCCAGGACCTTTTTTTGTCCCTTTTCTTATATGAGAGACAAGCCAATGATGGAATGACACCCCAAAAACACACAGAGACCAAATCCATCAAAGATTGACCAACCTGTGTGAAGAAATCACAACTTGTTTCATAATCAGGGAAGCCTACATTGCAATCTTTGATCTCCAAGTCCATCAAATTTTATTGTTTTTGCTCAAATCTGATCTATCAAGTATATAAATTTTCAAAAAAAGAATCTATTGGCAAATTTGACCTCAAACGCATGAGCTTTGGGCCCAAAATATGAACAGAAAGGGGCGTGGATTTCAACCGGCTTCATATTTCAGTCACTCTTGAAAAAGGTCAAACTCGGGCGAATTTAGGCAACTCGCCCGAGTTCTTGGTACTCATTTGAGTTGCTACAGTACTCACTTGAGCACTGCATGCCTTTTCATATACACCCAAGGTTGGGGGTTCGAGCCCAAGCCAACCAGGTTAAGTCCAAGTCGGCAGACACTAATAAGATTAGTTCATCATTTGTTTCTCAATTTATTCTGATGCATGAAGAATGGCACACAGGATATCAAATTCAACTAGAAGAGATCTATATTACAAACAGATTCCAAAATTATTGTATACGACCTCATGCTACATTTTAAAGACTACTTTTAAAATTATAGAATTCGCAGAAGAAATTTTTATAGCATGGCTTCTCATTGAATCTATCTGAACTAGCGTCGATAAAACATTAATGTTATCTCAACTTCAACCGTAATAGTCAGGGAAAAACTACTTTAATACCTGAAACTTATAGAGAAAATTGAAATGGCGATGAGTTTCACAATAATTGCATATGCGGGTAAGAGCAGCAGCTGTGTAGTGGCTAACCACAGCTTCATGCGATGCAGCAGATGCATTTCTTGTTCCAATGACATTCTCTAGCACAAACATGGCACCATATCCAACACATAAGTCACATAGATCCTCAATGGTTCCATAATCAGTTCCTAAAGGGTCTGGCCTTTGAGGTGATGAAGATTGAGTCGCTGTCCCATGTGCCGATGGTTGAGCAGGTACGGGGATAGCATTTGGAGGAAAGAAGAGCAAACAAGCATCAACATAGTGACCATGTCTGAACATGAAACTGAGCATTTCCTGCCGTGCATACTGTATTACACAACAAACAGAAATTCATGTCAAAAATGAGTATCAAGTCAGATAGAAAAAGGACGTTCATGCAGATATATCATTATAACCCAAACATCAAAAAGAATGCTAAACAATCTAAGACAGAAACACGTGACCCAGAGAGTTTTCCTACATGTTAAAAAAACATCCCAAAAAAAAGAGAATCACAAAAATAGTTATGAAGAAACACAATTAAGGGTTCCACTACATCAACTTACACAAGTGGCTCATTCCTTCAAGTCCCCGCCGGATAAGCAAATTTTAAGTTCATTTACCAACAGGTTCAAAGATAATAGAAACTTGTGAAGCACTTGAGGCAAATTAGCTTACTTCTTGCAAATAGTTGATGCACTCCACGTATCTGATGTTGTCGTTGTCCAAGTTGCTGCGAGGACCATCCTCAAAGTTCACCGAATTTGACAGCACAGCATGACTATTTGTAGCTTCCTGAGATCGTCTTGACCTCTCAGACCGAGGGAAAGTAGATGGCATGTATAGAACATTGAGATATGAATCCGCAGAAAGAGAATCATCCAAGATTGTTGGGGCACTTTTTGCCAAATGCTCATACCTGACAGTCAAATGTCAACTTTTATTGCTGGTTCAAACCCAAAACTCGAACAAATATTGTTTTAGAACTGATGTTTGTATTTGAAAATAATACAAACGAACCCACATAAAATATGAAAGTTCAAGTATCTTTTTGTGGTACAACTAGGTTTCTGCCATATAATGTCCCTATCTGTTCATGTAGTAGATTGGCCCGATGCCAATATTCATCTTTGACATAAAATCAAATACATCCAACCAAGTACGAAGATCAGCCTGCTATCCCTCATAAACAGTACATAAGTGCATTGATTTCTTACATTGAACGGACAGATGAGACATCTACTGGAGGGCCAGACTCCATTGTATTGATGATCTCAATAATAACAGGAGCAGGATCACCCTTGTGCAATTGAAGAGCTTGCCTGAATGCAATAAGTAATACAAGGTCAGTATGTCCACAATTCTAAGCAAGGTACTGCCCAATTTTAAGCAAGATACTGCCTTAACAGCACCTTCGCAAAAGTTCCATGAATTATATACTCACTACTACCAACAGCTAAAAAGGCACAAAATCTAAGTGAAAAAAAGAAGCTAAAATAACATGCAATCTTGCACATACTTGAACTTCACACGGGCTTGGGCATAATGTTCCATTCGATTCAGAGCATGGCCCCAAGCACTCCAGACAGGAAAAGTATCAATCTGAAAAAACCATATCATTAGGTGACCAATAGAGGCAACATTAGTCAAATCATGTGGTTGCAGATGTATACCTTGCACTTTTTGCATGTATATACAGCCATGCTATATCGTTCATCTCCAATTAACCTGTCACGAAGATGAGCTGATGATTCCTTGTCAGCAATATCATCAAGTGAAGCGACAATCCCTGACCCCAAAAGACTTTGAAGTAACTCGGCACGCCCAAGCCAGATATCAGCCTGTGATACAAGTTCTGACAGCTCATCTGTGCACTGACTACTGATGCTAGAACTGCCAGCATCAGAGGATACATCATCAGCTTCTCTACTTCGATCTGAAGTGCTAGACAAATCACTACTCCCAACAAGTTTTCTCAGATGAGACCTAGCATGAACTAGTGCCTGAAAATGTATATCAAGATAAATATTATCAGTATTTTTAATGAAAAAAGAAAAGAAAATCAGTCTGAAAATCAAATACCTGAACAAAAGTTTCAGTTGCATGATAAGCTCGTCCAACTTTTTCCATGGATGAATGCAAGGGGAGTTGCTGGGAGCTCAACACATTCCTCATCTGGGTAATGCACAACTCTAGAGCGCCTTTAGCTGAAACCAATTCATCTGAGCATAGAGAGAGCAGTGCCTAACAATAATATTGAACCCGAATCTCAGAGATCTTACAGGGGGGGAAATTTGCATGAAAATTTCAGTTGAATCAGCTTTAAGAGATACTATGATTGAAGACACCGTGAAATTTGTTGCATGTTAAAGCTAAACAATAATAGAAAGAGAAAATAGATTCCAAATCCGTACTTCGAAAAGTATGATATCAGGAGCGCTTTCATATTGGTGAGACATGCGAACAGCATCGTCCTTACTTGGATCTCCAGTGAGTATCCAACCCTCAGCTGTAGCAATAGAAGGAAGTCGTTCCTGACTATCACCAGAATGAAAGGATACACGGTCCTCTTGGATACCAGCCATTGCTTCCCAAGTAGCTCTCTCTGATGGAGAAAACCCTGAGCTTTTCCTTTTCTTTTGGGTTTCCTTAGGTGCAACTTTGTTACCAGTATCTCGAGGAGCCCAAGAGAAAGCCCTACGGGCCTCTCTCTGTAGGTTGCTAAGGCTATTACCAATATTTGACTTAGGTGGTACGCCACTTCGACCTCTTTGTTTTGTTTTTGAGGCCGCAATGCGGTATCTTTGCTCACCTAATGGGGGAGTCACATTGACAGCTATTGCTTTTGCTGAATATTTAAGAATCAGATCATTGTCACACAAAGAAGGGAACTCCTTCAAGATCTGCACAAGCAAATGCAATTTCAGGATTCTAACTCAAAAAAGGTACTAGGAGGAAATGCCTGATTTGGATCCTGATAGTTGAGGTAAATTTTAAGTTACAACAGGGAGGAGCACAGTACCAATGAAGCAGACTGAAGTTGTTTCCTCATCAAGAGAACTTCCAGTATTAAATGAGGGTGTTCATGAAGTGATGAACACCGTTGCTGCCATGGCAAAGGCAAAACTGCTAGCACGCGAAGACCCAAAGCCCAAGAATTAAGACGTGAGATCTCGACGTCTGACAAATTCCCAGCCCGTCGCTTCAAGAAAAAGTGAACCTTCATTGCACAAGAAAAGAAAAAAAGACATCAGACTGAGGAACAAACATATTCAAGGGAAAGTAGAATTCAACCCAGACGAACAAAATAACAATGCCGGCACAGGGGTTATAATCATCCAAGCATTGGGTTGCTCAGTGATGGAAGGTTGGTCAGTGTTGGAGAGGGAATGGCACATACAATTGAATCAGTGACAAGTTTGGTGGGACCCACCCTCCCTCAATCACCGTCAAACCTATTAATGGAGCAGTAATAACCTTATGAACAGGCTGCTATCATGAACATATGGATCGTATTGTATTCCATACATCCAAAAACATATAAATGCATCAATAAGTTTAAGGGAATTGAGACTACACAAGAAGCTGCTTTGAACGCAGACTTGGTAACTGCTGCATGGCACCCATAGCAACTGGAAGAGCATCATCAGAATCACGTAAAGATGAAAGAAATCTTGAAGCCTCAGCTGGGCCTCCCCCATTTACAGGATCAGCAGTAAGAAGCTTGACAAGTTGTCGGCCCTGTAGTTCTCTTCGCAAATCTATGGATAAAGAAGCACTTTCTGCAACTTCAAGGGCCGCAGATACAGCTCCCTTTCCAGCAAGTCTAAGTGCCAAACCTTCGGGATCCTCCTTGCAATCAGCTTCGACCTATAATTAATATCGGTCAAAAGAACAACATCCTTTAGAAATTCGAATGAATAAAATAAAGGAACAATTAAAGCCTTAGATGTATCAGAAAGAGCCTTTCAAATATTTGGATCTATTCAAGGTGATGTAACAACTCTTTACAGACAATGAGAGTGTTTTCAACCTCTTGCCAGCTGCTGTATTGATCATCTGAACACCAAATGTGATTGTATCTCTGCAAAGCTTGTCGCATTTGCATGACCTGATTATGCAGGAAAAAGCAGTCAGTTTAGGAGCCAAGACTTGTTCATGACTTATGTACTTATCAGACAATAGTTATCTGCAGATGGTAAGGACGAAGTAACATCATATTGTGACATGCTGGCAAGGATTATGTACCAGAAAAGCCTTGAATATGACCAAAAATATGAAGGACATAGGGTAGGTGATATTTGACGCTGTGACAGAGGTACCTCAGTTTTAAGTGGATCATCCGCAGTCAAATGACAACTGCACATCGTGAGGACATCCAAGGCTGCATCTAGTTCCCACCTGTGCACGTACCTGAATTCGGAAAAGCACATCTGTGGATAGTTCGAATATGGATTAACAAAAAAAAAAACAATAGGCAAGACAGCATATATTGCAGGAGGAATCTATGCTGGAAAAAAAAATTAACACTGTGGTCAGCATGATCATGCTTCATTAGCAAAGCAACCCAGGTCTTGATAAACAGACACCAGCATTTTTAAAAAACCAGGACTTCCTGATAAATTGATTTCTAAAATAAAAGGATGGAATAAGAAGACCATCCATCAGATCACCATCATCTAGATAGAGCAAACATGATAGCGATAAACAGACAGCAACATATTTTGCTTCAAATGCAATTCCTTTACATAACTAACATTAAAGTTGTACTTTATATTTACATAATCATGTTATTGGTACAAAAATACAAACAGGTATAATAACATGTCAGTAAAAGCAAGTGGAACTTATCATATAACGAATAATGCAAACTTCATCTGTTTACACATGCACCATCTGCAGATAACAAATGTCCTGTGTCCCTTATTGCAGTAAATCTACCAGATTAGAAGAAAATGAATGATGTAATATTACTGCCACCGTAGACAAATTGATGCATAGAGATTTACGACATAAGCAATAAGGAAAGTACAGCGAGAACAAGGATTACGCACTTGAGTGCAAGTGTAGCAGCTAGTCGTTTATCTTTTAGCCGCAAACAATACTGCCAACTATTGCTACCGAAGTTATGTCCTCCATAGACCGGAAGTCCTGAAGCTGACATATTTTCCTCTCCACGTTCAACAAGAAGCTGCAGTAATCGATCAGAGGCTCCATTTCGCAAACAACGATCAGAAAGAGCCAGCGCATCCATCAATTTCCCATCATTAATTAGTCTGTAAAAATAATATTTCGCAAAATGGTTATCCTAAGCCAAACATTCCTTCTTTCAAATTAACACCCTTGGAACTATAGAAGTGACACAGAGAGTATGAAGGAAAATTAAAGGAACAGCAAAAATCAGCAATAACAGAGAAAAAGCATAATTCTAAAACAAGCCAAGAGATGAACTTTCTTATTCCATAAAATAAAATTCATTCCAGTAACATAGGTTTCCCACAATGTGAAGTGCCACGTTTTATAAGCCTATGATATCCTAAATTAACTTAAGATCCAAGTAAACAATTTCACTAATGTAGAATGACGAAACGACGTAAACTTGAAGGCAAAAAGACAAAATGAAAGAAAAAAAGAAAGTAAACGACTCATTATACCTCTAAACAAAATTAAAAATTGCAGAAATACCCATCCTAACAGTGACCAAAGAATCGTACCATAAATACTAACATGTGAATAGTACTATGAACATTACTTGAGAATAGTAAAAAAAAAAAATAGAAGAGAATAGTAAAAAAAAAAAATAGAAACTAAGTGTTGAGGATTAACCCTATTTAATAATTCCTAAAAATTAACCAAATAAAAATAAAACACACACTTACGCCCATGAAATTAAAAAAATAAATCAATTTTCTGAATTATCTAGTTCTCAATCTGCATCAGTAACTAATGTCCATTTCTTTTTATACTATAGTAAACTTTACTTCAAACAATAAATAAATAGAAGCCAAATTTCACTCATCCATATGACTACTCAGCTGCATCACTTCAAAATTCATGCAAATTTAAAAAATTAAAAATAAAATTACTGAAATAAACTACAGAAAAACTCAAACAAATGTCAAAAGATCTCAAGAAACATTAGGGTGCAATACAGAACTTGTGTCAACATAGAGTGACTCAGGAAGAACCTTTATTTGGCAAGCAAGTACTGAAGCAAGAAATTGTAACTCATGGAAGGAGAAATGAATCAAAATAAATTTTCTAGTATAAGGTTTCTCGTTTTGGTTGATTGGCTAGTATATAGACAGTCAGAAAATGTACTGAAGAATACTCATGAAAGGAACATTTCCAAAAGACATCATTAGATATAAGCATTAGTTTCCAATGCAACAATAAAGATATCACTAGCTGCAAGGTTCTTGGAACTATAAAGTTTCTCTTTTTTGGTTGATTGGCTAGGATATAGACAGTCAGAAAATGTGCTGATGAATACTCATGAAAGGAACATTTCCAAAAGACATCATTAGATATAAGCATTAGTTTCCAATGCAAAAATAAAGATATCACTAGCTGCAAGGTTCTTGGTTCCATGTGGCCAATATAACCACAACAGCAACATATATCACCAAAAATCTGTACATGGAATAAACAATATTCCATAACAACTGCACCACGGGCGATTTTCAGAGGATATAAATGCTGCCGAATATGGTAACACCAATATGGCCATTTTCACACCTAATACTAAATGGAAAGAAAGATACAAGCAGAGGTAATGAAAGGACATACAAATTGAATCAATGTGATGATAGATTCAGTGAAAAATTTTTGTAAGAAAATAAAAATAAATTGACCAATTAATGTAAACTCGCCCTGTTTGGAAGGTTCTATCAAGCATACCTCTCTACAGCTTCTTCATATGGCCCTTCATTCTCCCAATCAAAAGAAAGAAAAACTGTCCTATCAGAATCAAAACTCTCTGATCTCTGCAGGTCTTGCTTAGTACCAGAAGCTGCAAACTCCTTTTTATCAAACTCTGAGACAGATACAGAAGCATGAGCGCCTACTGCTCCATAACCATCATCTTCCACTTCTGATTCCGTATCACTGTCAGGTTCCCGTAATCGTTTCACCAAAGTTTTGGACCCAGCTGTAGATTTGCCAGTTTCAGCCATACGTTTGGTTATAATAGCAGATTCGGTTACTCTATGAAGGTTGGACTGCATTTGTATCCATCGATTCAAAGTTGGATATCTGGTTATCAAACAAGGCCTTATTTCATTTAAGAATAGCACTTTAAGATAAAGTAACATATGATCTCCCCAACACCAGAGATTCCACGAAATATGTTACCTGTAAGACTGATCAAGTGCGAACTCATAAAACAACCTGTCAGCATCAGATGGTTGTGTTATTGAACCATGCGAGCTACTGGATCCCAATGATTCAGAGCCACTGGATAATATGGTACTCCCAAAGACACAAGCCAATACAGCTCGAACAGGTGACAGTGTTGCCAAGTGCTTCACTATATTAAGCTGAAGAGGATAGAGTGGGACTCCAGGTATTAATGATGAGGAAGAACTAGGCTGAGCCTCTACAGAAGAGTGAGAATGAATTTTGTTCTCAAGACTCATCATCGGATAGGCTGGTAGAACAGGAATGCAGGCCCAGCCATGACCAGACCTCGGAGGGAAGACTGGAGGAACACAAGCTGATATAACTTCATGAACAAGGTCCGCACCCATAATATCAGCTACCTTTCCAGCTGCATCAGCACTGCCTCGCTCAAAAACCAGACGAGTTAAAAGCTGCAAAATTTAACATCTTTAACATCAACCTATTGACAGAAAAGGAGTCATATGAAAATCATAGATTTTCAGACTATTATACAGAAGTCAACAAACATGACTATCTCACAATGTGTTCTGAGTGATGGATCAACAAAAATAACCAACCAAAACAACTCCTTGCAGTACATAAAGATTAGAGAAACCTCTTTAAAGAAACCAATCAAAATATCATTGTCTAGAATGCGAGCACTACTGGGTATTATATTTCACAGCCAAAAACTGTGAAACAAATTCTCATCGCAATCTGCCAAAAAGCATAACTACAATGAATGACATAGTAACTCGTGTAATACTCCACCATTCTAAAGAATTTAACCCAAGCACAGTGATCTTCAATTAATAAATCCAAGTTCAATTCTTCTGCTCATGATGTGGTGAATAATGCATCTCCATGGTGACTAACAAGTCAGTAGTGCAAGAGACTTTCTAGTTTCTAGGCAGCATGAACCATGTCATGTAAAACCACTGTTTCAAGACTCGGCCGCGACTCGGACCCAAGCAAATAACTCAGCCTCGCCGTATGGGCGAGGCGAGTTTGGCCCGAGTACACTGTGCGTGAGTTATTAATATGTTATATATAATGACGTGCCAATTTTTAACATGAACATTCAAGTAAAGCACTGGTTTGTGTGCATTCTTATGGTCCATGATGGTGAGGGTTCGAATCCCCCAATAATCATCCGTTCTTTTTCTTTTTCGTTTTTTTTTTAAGAAAAAACAGGAGTTAAATAAATTGTCCAGGAAGAGGATTCGAACCTAACACCTCTTACAAAGGGGTACTCTAAGAGCATACCACTTTAACCAACACGCCACAGGAATTTCTTTGTAAACAAAAGTATTTATGTATCCCTATACTACCTTATAAAAAAAATAGAAAACAAAAATTGAAAATGAGTGGGTTCAGGATTTGAGCCAAAATCATCCCACATGGAGGAATCCCAAGGGCGGTGGACCTGACCATCAGGTCATTTAATGCTCAATGTCATAAACACGTATGATATAATATATATAAATTAACTTTTGTGATGATTTTTTTATTTTTTTAACTTGAACTGTACTCTGGGGAGTTACTCGGACTCGACCAAGTAACTCGGCTCAGGCAAGGGCCAAGTCGATTTTCTGAACACTTTGTTAAACCATAGAAATTGGTTAACCGTCTTTGGGCATAAAGTGCTTAAAGTGCTCTTGTTCAGAGCAATCAATGCTAACATGGGCCAATAGGAACTCATAAAAAACGTGTGCAACGCAAGGACTTGAAAGCAAAACAAAGGCAACCAGAATTTCACAAAACGAAAAGGCACTTATATGAGTTGAAAAGGTATATAAGCTGTCAAATGGACATGTTTGGTTCACTCCCAATAAGCATGTTTCTACTCCAGATGCAGTTTCACGCTCCCAAGGGCTGTGATTTCCAAGTAATTCCTCTATCAATCCCATCCAAAATTGGCTTCCGACTTTCACTGTAGTACTCACACTCCAGCTCCCACCATGGAACTGGATATCCTAAGGTTTATTCTACAACATCATAATATCAGATCATGAGGTTTCTGATCAAGATGCACTATAGCAGCAGCCAATCATATTTCATGTTAATAGGAAATTTCAAGGCCATACGAACTTTCTCTGGGGAACAAAGCAACCGAAAACATCAAGGAATTTATGATAGCATAATTTCAAAAAAAAAAGTTGAAGCTACAGAAATGCACCCCATGCTCAAGTCAATGTTGATAATTCAACACGTCTGTTTCCAAACAAAATAAACTAGGCAATTTCAATCAGCGGAATCAATTTCAACTGCAACGATTTCAGTGATGGACACTTAATTTTAAAGGGCACCATTAATAGGACAAAAATGAAAGAACTACTGACATCTTTAGGCCACTCATATATGAGAGAGAAAAAGTTGAAATCATGAGTAGTATCGACTCCATCGACTATATCACCAATCGTTGCAATGTAGAGGATAAATGCAGAAAGATATGTGGCCGGTTTCGAACTTAGGGGACCATATAATCTTTTATTCACATCTTTCAAATCATAATCAGTTGGATCAGTACTACTTTCCACAGCTGCTGTGCTGTGAGAGTTAGATTTCACAGTCCTAAGACCAAGGCCAAGAATTCCATCCTTCTCAGAACCCAAGCTTACTGTAGATTCCACATAGGAGCTCTCTTTAGATGAGCTTTCATCCATTTCTTCATCAGCGACAGCTTTTACAAGATTGTGCAGCTTCCCTGCAAATTTATTTCAGATAATCATTTGCCAATACACATAATAACCCAAATACGGCATAAAGTAAATTCTAGATACTACAGAACCACTTTGTAAACCCCACCACTCAAAAACTGCCGCTTTCCCTTGTGAGCATCCTCAATCATCTGATGCAAAATGGCAAGAGCTCGCTGCCTTTGTCCTTGCCTGTTACTCTCACTTGAAGGAGATACAACCATATCACCTCTGAGAATTGCTTGAAGGGACGGAAATTTACTCTGGAACATCAAGTACAAATATTTTCCCAAAAAGCATCAAGTAGAAATATTGAGATGGCATTCTCTTATCATACAATGATAAGAACTCAATTAAGTAAACATGAATGAAGTATAAGAACAAATTATTAGACATGAAGTGAACTATAACAGAACCACAATATTCTTCTCATTTCTATGAAATATTTAAAAGTATTCTTCAGCTGAGCCAAAGCAAACCCAATTGCAGCTGCGGCTCAAGTTAGAGGATACAGTACAAACACAACCATCAAGGAACAAAAGTACTTCATGCATGATTTCTAGCATAATATGCAACCATAATGGTAAACGTACTGTGTACTCAGAAAACAGCATTAAATCATGAAATGTATGATAACTCAGAATGAAATAAGGAACTTTTATATACAGTAATGTTCGATGTTCAAACACTTCCTTCCCATAAGCAAGTTTCCTCGAAATGAAGGTGGAAGTCTATTGTTTTGTCCTTTTGAATAGAAAACTAATTGAAACATGGGTCCAGCTGCACTCCTCATCATGTAGATTATAATTAAAAACAATGCAAAGAATGCCAAACAGCAAAGCATTTCACCAAGAATTTTACTGAGAAGAATAACATGTATCAGCAATATGGAAAACCAACCTGATCTAAGAAATCATGAAGACGCTTAAGGACACGCCTTGTCACAGTAATAATACATGCTTCTTGGACCTGATCCCAGTATGTCGAGCCTTTCTTTGGAGCACCACCTGGAAATATCTGTGACAGCAAGGTCTGTGCCTGCACATTCAAGAAGCTCAACTAACAGGTTATGCTTCTGATAATACATCTAGAATGAGCATCCAAAAGCTGTCAATGCTCAAGAAAATACATAATACTTTATCGCGGGAAAAGAGGAGCATGGTTTATTTGAAATAAAGAATTTATATTCTTCTTATCTGTTTAGAGGGAAGCAATTATCTTGCCTGGTGTAGTAGTTGACTACACATATGAACCGACTTAGCTGTAGTTGCAGCTACATCAATACAAAGAAGAACCTGAAAATATTGAGACACATTAGGATATCCAGATGGTTACAAGCAGAGAAGGCATCATATCCATTAAGCGGACTTACTGTAGCTAAAGGACCCAACTGGGAACAAAAGGACGAAAAGTCCAGTTCATGATCGCCACCTGGAATTCCCTCAGCAACACGAGAAACCACATCTTCAACCTGGTTGAAAGATGAAACTCATTTATTTTTCCATTTCAAAGTCTCGATTATTGCAACACATAATTGCATATTGAAAATGTACATAAATGGGATAGATGAAGTCATTGAGGAGTCACAATAAACCGTTATACCTATACTTGATGTACTGTCAATCGAATAATGTAACTGTCAAGTAATTCAACTGTTATGTGTACAGAATAACAATTTTTAGAGATGGATATCAATTTTAAAACTTGAACTAGTGCATACAAATGCTGTCCACATATCAGTGATTTAAAAAGCGGACTGCCCAACGCCTGGGTGGCTGCCAAGGCGGTCCAAAAGGCCTGGGCGCATCGCCCAGGCCTAGTGGATATCCATGGGCACCCACATAGGTGCCCGGGAACCCGCCTAGGTGGCCACCTGAACCTGCCTAGGCGGTGGCCCAAGGCCTGGGCCCCACCCAGGGGCGAAAATGGCCCTCATGGAGCGCATTTTTGGGTCATTTTTTAATATTAAAGGGGCAAAATTATGGGTTTTACGTTCATTTGAAACCTAAAGCCCATTAGAGCCTATTTTAGAGAGAGAAAACCCCAAAAAAAATTTCTTTCTACACCCAAGTTCTGGGCGCCCACCTAGCGCTTTTTGAAACACTACCACGTATCCTCATTTTCTTTTTGCTTTCTTCTAGCAAGTTGTGCATGAGAAGTTCTAAGGAATGAGCATCAGGAAGCAAGATATAAAACTGAATAGATTCCAATAAGATTTTCCAGCATCCACAGATAAGCAATATAAAAATGAAAACACTAAGCATTAAGAGCATACCGATGCCTTTCTAAAGGCACCATCAACCCATTCAACAAGTTCCAGAGCAGCTTTATCTTCTGGAGGTAAGGAGAACCTATGTACCGCTTCTTCGCCAATGTCATATTTTGCTCTTTGCATGCAGCTGTACCAAATAAATAGAAGACATTAACATGCAAGATGAAGCTAGCGAAGACAGCATTTCAATAAACTTCTAGTTACACATAATGAAATGTAATACATGTGATGAGATACAATAAATGCATATAAGCAAAATATCATCTTTACTATCTGTTAAATATTATCACCATGGAACTACCTCGTATGTCCACTCACCAAAATTGGAATAGGAATTTCTATACCACCTTTGCAGTCAACAAAGAGAACCTTCCATTCTCTTGTGCATTGACTTATCATGAAGCCATAAAATCTAGTTCATGGGAAACTAAGGGTTCAAATTTTGATAACCTGGCAAGCTACCTATTTCCACATACTCAAGGCATAACACCCACCATTTGCTCACTCGTTTCTAATAATTGTATAATCAATGAGGTGCTGTACCATCTCCCACCCCTCTTACAAGATTTTGTAACTATCAACTAGTGTAGAAATGGTACATGTCATACTACATTGCAAGATCCACAGAAGCCCAGAGGGGTATGGATATAGATGCAAATAGAGAGCAAGCAAGATACGGGCTCTTCATTTCCAACATTCAGGGCATGGAAATGGATACAAGTATACTATCTGAGACATCAATAAAACTATTATTTTATTTCATAACACACACATGCACAAGTATTAGAACATATATGGTAACAAATATGGTATATATAGAATAGAATATTGTTGGGATCTTGTGGCCTTTAAAGGACGTTTGCTCATATATTAATCCATGTTAAAACTCATGTTATCAAGAATAAAAGAAATAAATATGCTCCAATTTAAGTGGGAGTGCTGATTGGTCAATGTGGGACCAATGGGGCATGAGTACGGTCTACACCTAGGGCTGATTAAGTCACAAACCTTAGCCATTAAGCTCCAGAGGTGTGAGGCCTGATGCACTGACCGAGGAATATTTGAGTAATCCTGTGTTGAGGTCAGAGTAAATCCCAATGGTAGGTTGAGCAAACAGAAATACATTGATGGAGGGAAAAATTATACTTATTTTTAATTTCTATTCAATTTTGAAGGATGTATATTTTGATTTTAGTTTTAGGGCTTAGTTCTAGGGTTTTTTTATTTTCTAGGAATTTTAGGGATTTTTTAGATATTTAAATTAAAGTTAGGGAGTTTAGTTTCAAGTTATATTTTAGTTAGGACCTTTTGGTCAAAAGTTAAAATTATATGGACAAATAATGTCCAAAACAATATGTTTTCAATATAAATAAGGGCATGAATGGGCTGGAGAGTCATTCATGTATGCCTCTTTAAGAAAAGAAAGACTTTGTCTTGTAAAAGAAACCTAAGGCTTGAGACCTAGGTGGGAGAAAACCTTAAGGTTTCTCCAAAATTACTTGTGTTTGGCATGTTTATTGCTGATTTTCTATGTTTCTTCAAGTTCTTCTACATCAAGTGGCATCAGAGCCCACGATCCACACAAAATGTTACTGTAGAGTACGGAAGTTCCTGTAACATTACTAAAAAGTACTGTAGCATTACGCACTTTATTACTGTAGCACCACTTTTTTTGGTACCCTAGGTCAACAAAAAAGGAGGGAAATTATAGTAGGGTCTAGGGTTTACTGATTTTGGCCAAAAACAACCTAGATCTTGCTGATTTCAGCCACTTTTATTGATTATTTGCCTAGGGTATGTGATTTCGGTGAACTCATGGCAGCGAGAAGGGGCCGTAGAAGGGGTATTTTTGTGGACCCGCTCCGTGATCCTAGAGATGAGAGAATTGAGGAACTTGAAAAACAAGTTCAAAAGCTAACACAACAATTCGCAACCCTCAATAATGGGCAAGACGGTGATCTTTCAGCCCAAGCGGATCTTGAGTGCAAGCCTTTTCACTTTCGCACTCCGCGTGTGGTGTCGAGTGATGAGTATAGTGATAGAAGACCTAGATGTAGGGAACATCACTCTAGGGTTTTTGATTTGAAGAATGATATTTTTTATTTTGACATAGATTGCATGGAAAATCAACAAGTTGTTGATTGGAATTCACCACCACTCTTCAACATATACTCAGATCAAGAATAAAATTTCTTAGGAGATCCGATCTATGATAAGGATCAAGATGATGGTGAAGATATTTTGGAAGAGGGGGAAGAATATAGAGAGAAGGATGGAGGAGGACTGATCAAAATAATGCCCTTTGAAGATCTTATCAATATTGAAGAGGTGGAGCATTCAACTTTACGGCATCGGAATCAGAGTAGCGCAGTGGAAATGTGGTCGTCTCAACCGCAAATTATGGCCTTGATTTTAGAAAGTGATCAAATAGATGTTGAGAAATCCTCTAAAGGCCAGAAAATTATGTTCGGAGTATCTTACATGATTTCTAATGGAAGTTCACGAATACTTGAATTTGATAAATTTGCATGGATTCCTCAATATGCATATCAGGACCCATTTCTTGATGAATTTTTTTAACCTCGAGTAATATTTGAACCGACAAAGAAAACGAAGGTTAAAGAAGGTGGTTTTGATGTTGAAGTCATCTTAGCATAATTCAAAACTTGAGGACGAGTTTTCTCCAACAAGGGGAGAATGATGGAGGGAAAATTTATACTAGTTTTTAATTTCTATTCAATTTTGAAGGATGTATAGAGGAATTGGAAGGCAAGGGTCAAATCCTCAAGACACCACCCTCAAATGCAAAAATGATAGCCGCATTGGAGAAGCAATTTTGGGGTCCCCATTGTTTGAGGATATTTTGTCTCAAATAAAATGTCACCAGACTCGAGGAATGACGATGTCCAGCCAAATAAATTCCCAGCACGATAACTGCAGGGAAATCGAAGGAACCCTTGGAAATTGCTACAGTGGGCAAAAAGCAATCTCATAATAAATCAAAAATGAAAATTCCCTTTAACATGATGAAAGGAAGCTCCCTGCCAAAAATGAGAAAGATCCAAGCCCGATCATGCCCAAATCTCCAATTGGACGCTCCAGAAAGAAGTAGGGTCCAATTTGTATCAAAGGATAAAGAAATCATAATCTGACCATGGGATCCCTAATTCAAGGCACCCTGACTGAGGCTACCCTCCAAAAACAAGGCCAATCAAATACTAGATAACCAAAATATGGTGCGATGCAACTGAACCGTCCATCTCACGACATTGATCCAAGGCCAAAATAAAAAAACTCCTACAGATATAAAAATTTAAATGGCCCAAGAACTTTATGGATTAAAGGTATTAAGTATTAACATAACAAAGCTACGGTCCAAATTTGTGCCCAATCTGATATCAGATAAGAGAGATATAGCTTCTCGAATGCCTTGAACCGCATGCAGGGTCCATCTAAATCGTTCCAACTTTACAAAAGGAACCCAAAAAATAAGTGGCCAATAAGCTTCAAATTTTATGGGAGGAAGGCAATAATGAGGAAAGCCTTTGGTAGAAATTTCGGCCAATTTTGATGTCCAAAAGTGCCTTTTTTGGCATCATCTTTACTTCACCACAGGGAGACCACAGAGAAAAGAAAAACATACCATACTGCCTCTGTAGTTCATCCTCTTCATGAGAATTACAGCAACCAGAAATTTTTGGCAAAAATCTGGGGGCCATATCTCATGATTCTTGTAGCCAAAAGAGCCCAAATTTCGGTATGTTGCTCCTTTTTACATGGGATTTCCATCCATGTATGGATCAGTGGGTTTCTCCACTCGGATCAAGGTCGAATCGAAGCAAAACGATGGAGGTTCGCAACAAGTGATCTGTATCAATCCTCCCCATGACCTCTGCTCACTCTAGGAGTGATACCTCGCAAACCCTACAGCGATTCGAGCCAAAATTTTGCAGGGAGCTTCGTAACTTAGAGACAAAAGCATCCATACATAGCAATCCACGATCAAAATCAATCGGCTTATCGTCAAATAGCGGCTAAATTTGAGTGTAATGACAAAGTGTAGAAATGGGTATCGATTTTTATCAGAAATGGAAAACCAAAACTCAAAATGAATGAAAATTGGCGAATCATTGATGGTTTTTGCTCAAATTTGTTGAAAAATGATCATGGTCAATTGCTCCAGATTTTATGAAAGAAATTGGGCCAAAATAGTGGAAACAGGTCCAATTTGATGGGTTTTGGTAGCGGATGAAGAAGGAGCCTCCTCAATGACAAATCATTGAAAATTCCAAAGTTTAGGCATCCTTTTTGGTCATTTTCAGCCTTAGCCCGAATTTACTTTTAATAATCCATCCCATTTTCAAGCCAGGCTTTGATTTTCCACCCACCAACTTTTAATATTCCACCCATATTTTCCCATGTCTATAAAAGCCAACTTAAACTTCATTTTTAGAGGTTGGGAATCAAGCTCCAATCTAGAGAGAGAAACCCTTGCTTAGAGAGAGAAAACTTAAATTTCCCAAAGCGCCCCTACCTCCATTTCATAATTCCCAAATTACCCCTCAACATTATCAAAATACCCTAGGAAATTAGAAAATCCCCAAAATTCCCATAGAACCTAGGGCATCAAAATTACCCAAAAACCTCAAGCATCCAAAGGGAGAACCGAAGAAGGAATCAGCTCAGCTCCGACACTTTTTGGATCGCCTGATGACTAGTCGAGTACTCAACTACATCTGCCAGTAAACCGTTAAGGTTCAATGTGCAGTCAGTATCATAGCCGGAAATTCGACTCAGGTTGGATGAACTCGACCACTTTTCGGATCACCTGGTTCTAGCGTCGAGTCGCACTTTCCTTCTCGCTTAAAACAAGCAAGGCAGGGCGAAATTCCCCACAAGGAAACGTGTCAAACACTCGACCGGGTCTCCCAGTAGACCGTTAAGGGTGAGTGGGCGTCCCCCGGCATTCATATAAGCCAAGTGGTCTAAGAGGGTCAGCTGCACCAACCCTGATGAACCCACACTTCTAAATACGCTCCACGCCCCCTTGTATTAATTGAACCGATTTTTGCTTCTTTCGTGTGCAAGTCTCTAGTTGTTGCCTTTCCTTTGGAGTCGATAAAGAAC